ACTTTCCTGCTCCTCTGATGCTGCCTGACCTGCTGTGTGCCTCCAGCTCCACACAGTATCAGCTCAGCATGGGGTTGGGTTTACCTGGGTCCTGTGATTTCTCTGGGTTTCTTGGATCATTGTTCTGTTTCCACACATTCTTATTGTTAACTGGTTGACTCTTGTTCTTCTGCTGGAGATAGCGTTTACTATTTCGCCTGTATGCATCCTGGCTGATCTGCTTCCGTCCTGTCTTATGGAAGCTCTGTGCATTCTTTATGGTCATTCTGTAAACATAATGTGTGAATAACGAGTTAGAACACTTTTACTGTATTTCTGCTACTTGTCACCTTCAGCCTGGTAAAAATGCAGCTAATTTTGCTCTAATTATTTACTTTCCCACCTATATGAATGGCCTTCATTGGCCATGTTATGCTTCCACTTATTCTCACTAACTGAGCCCTTCTTAAAGACGATGAAATCCAGGAGTGGGTCCTTTCTGTCAGCTCCTTTTGTAGAGTGAGAAAGGACTGGGATTCATGAGACCTCTATCTGCAACTTGGAAATCTTGCCCTTCCCCACATGATGCTGCTGGTGGGGTGACCACAGCAGCCCCTGTCCTTCCAATTTCAGGAGGGAACTCTCCCACTTTCGACGTCTCTCAATCGACCTCCTCCCCAGGAAGGGTTGAAGTGTTCAGTTTGATTGAACATGCTCTCCAGTAGATGTGAGTCACTGAGTGAGCATTTGCCTGAGAGCAATTCCAGACTGAACAAAGACAAGTTCAGACAGAAATCTTGGCAAGAGGTAGCTCACAAATTGCAATCTGAAATTGTTCGCAACTTTCCAGCCACAACATTGGGTTCAGACTGTGAACTTTGTCCACTCATTTTGTTTCCTCTTTGCATGTTTTGTGATTTTTTTGGGCTCGGAGACCCAGCAGCTCTAGGCATGTGTTTCATTTTTTTTCTTTGCTCCATTCCCATTTTCTTGGCTCTCTCCCCTGTCATTTAATCTCTCCTGCCTTCCACTCTATCTCAGGTCTTCCTTTGTCCTTGTCCCACTCATCCCTTGCTCAAAAGCAATGGCAACTCTAACTTTTCCCAGTTCTGACTAAAAGTCAAAGATCTAAAACATTCATTCTGATTTTCTCTCTCTCCACAGATGCTGCCATACCTATGGAGTTTCTCCAGCACTTTGTTTATTTTCTGCATCTCCAGCATCTGCAGTTTTCTGCTTTTTGTTTAGTATCTAATCCAATTATTGTGCCCCTACCCACACTGACCCAGCAGCCTTGCTCAGTTTTCCTTTTCAATCATTCCTTTGTGGATTAGGGATTAAATCTGCTTCCTCAGCCCTTCCAGGCAGCAGCGTTGAGATCAGAAGAATTCGATGTGAGAATGCTTTTACTTTTTCTCCTGAAATCTGTGCATATTGACCCAGCAGAGCAATGATCCCAGCTTCTTCAATTGCTCCACATTCCCTGAATTTCCTCATTTCTGACCAAATCTCAACATTTAAATGCAAGAGCAGTGTCCAGAATTAAACATGAGACTCCAGCTGTGGTATCACTGCTGCTTTTTGTTAAAGGTTTACATAATCTTTTGTTCCATGTGCATCTATTTTAAAAAGCCAAATAAACTATATACTCTTTTTTTCAGAAAACTGCTTTACCAACCTGCCCTGCCACCTTGAATGATGAGTATGCGTGCACCCCCAATCCCTCTGGCCCTGAACCCTTTTAAAAATTGTACCATTTCATTTATGTTGCCTCATTTATTCCTTCAAAATACATCACTTTATGCTTCTCTGCACCAAATTTCATCTGCCCCGTGTCTGTCCACTTCACCAGCTTTGTTTAAATCCTCTGAAACCTGCTACTCTCATCCTCACTGTTTAATGTATTTTTATGTTTGGTGTCATGAACCAACAGTGAAATGATTTCCAGATTCATGTCATTTCTACCCAGCTCGCTTTCTATTCAGGTTACTCTGCCTCACTAGCTTGACCTCTATTTTAATCTTTATCTTGCTATTTTGACCTCTCTCTCACTGTCTCTCTGTCATTTCAATAGCCGAGTGATTCTCATATTGGCCTCTGACATGTACTACCAGTTCCTTTAGTCAGTTACAGTCAAGTACAGATCTTTTAAAGTATTTGTTAATTAATTAATTTGTTAAATAAATTGCAAATTTGCTCAAGGTTTAAGAAATTTGCTTGAGTTTTATGTTGATCTATTAGAGTGTTGATAAAGGGTCACATGGTGTGCATGCAGTTCCCCAAAGCATTTGATAAAATGCAAATGATAGGCTTGTGATCAAAATTGAAGCCAATACAGAAAAAGGTACAGTAGCTATTTTGAGGAGAGTTTGAATAGAAAACTGCAAGCTATTGGAAGTGAGAAAGTTTAGGTCTTTAGATTCATGAAGAGTCAATGATAATAGATACAGAAAGGAATAATCAAATAATCTTCACCAACCAAGGAAAAGAAACTGGAAGGAGTGAGTTAAGTAAAACTTAAAAAGAGATAAGATTGGAGGGTAATTTCTCTGAGCTCAAGTCCCTATAATGCATTGTGCTGTGAAACAAGTTGAAACTTGGTTTTGTTGTTTATGATTTTAGTAGGCTATTATGATCTTGATCTTTCTATATTGTCTCCTATATACATATCAATGTGTTTATGTCATAAATTTATATTCTGCTGTTAATGGACCTATGCAGCTTCTCGTGAATATGTTCAGGTGACTGACAAAAAGAGATTCTTGATCGACAAGGAATTAAAGGGTATCATGAGTAGACAGGACACTGGGGCTAAAGCTACAGTCGGAACGGATACCATCTTATCAAAAAGGGGAGCAGGTTCCCATGGCAAAGTGGTCTACCCCTGCTCTGAATTAGCTTGTTTCTAGGTTCAATGTTAGTACAAAGAAAAGAAGAAGCATAAGTTAAAGCTTACAATTTAAAAAGGGCTGAAGGATCTGGGGATAGATTGTGCACAAATTGTTGAAAATGCGGACAGGTTGGAAAAATGGTCAAGATCCCTGGGTTTTGTAAACAGAGGCACAGAGTACAAAAGCAGAGAAAGATATTTTGTACGAAACATTATTTCAGCGTCTGCTGGAGGACTCTGCCCGATTCTGAACAGTACACTTTAAGGAGGCCTTCAAAGGGGATATAGATTGAACTTCCCTGAATTTCTCTAGAGCAACATGGGTGGGTTGGAGAAGCTGTTCTCTTTCTAGATGAGGAGGGCTACACTAGAGAAGTGACGTGATTGAGGTGTTCAATCTAGATAGAGTTTATGGAAAGTAGCTGCTTCCATTTACTGAAGGGTCATGAACCAGGAGGCGCCAATGTACGGGCATTGGCAAATGAACCAACAGCATTACAAAGAGAAACTGTGGCTTAATTTTAAAATTCTGGCCCTTGTTATCAAATCCCTCCTGGCCTCGCCCCTCCTGTCTCTGTAATCTCCTCCAGCTTCACAACCCTAACCCTCTGAGTTATCAGTGCTCATCTAATTCTGCCCCCCTGACCATCCTTGATTTTAATTGCACCATTCCTGGCAGCATGTCTTCAGTTTCCTGGGTCCTCTCTCTCTCTTGACTTCATTTTCCTCCTTTACTCCTTTCCTCCTCTATACGGTAAATGGAAAAGCCCTGGGGAAAATTGATACACAGAGAGATCTGGGTGTTCAGGTCCATTGTACCCTGAAGGTGGCAACGCAGGTGAATAGAGTGGTCAAGAAGGCATACGGCATGCTTTCATTCATCGGACGGGGTATTGAGTACAAGAGTTGGCAGGTCATGTTACAGTTGTATAGGACTTTGGTTCGATCACATTTGGAATACCGCGTTCAGTTCTGGTCGCCACATTACCAAAAGGATGTGGATGCTTTGGAGAGGGTGCAGAGGAGGTTCACCAGGATGTTGCATTGTATGGAGGGCGCTAGCTATGAAGAGAGGTTGAGTAGATTAGGATTATTTACATTATAAAGATGGAGATTGAAGGGAGACCTGATTGAGGTCTACAAAATCATGAGAGGTATAGACAGGGTGGATAGCAAGAAGCTTTTTCCCAGAGTGGGGGACTCAATTACTACGGGTCACGATTTCAAGGTGAGAGGGGAAAAGTTTAAGGGAGACATGCGTGGAAAGTTCTTTACGCAGAGGGTGGTGGGTGCCTGGAACGCGTTGCCAGCGGAGGTGGTAGAGCCGGGCACGATAGCGATATTTAAGATGTATCTAGACAGATACATGAATGGGCAGGGAGCAGAGGGATACAGATAATTGGAAAACAGGCGACAGGTTTAGATAGAGGATCTGGATTGGCGCAGGCTTGGAGGGCCTGTGCTGTAATTTTCTTTGTTCTTTCTTCTTTGTTCTTTACAACATTTTTAAAATCAACCTGACTCACTCAATACTTAATCTTGCCTTATGTGGATGCCATATTTGGTGTTATAATGCTGCTATAAAGCATCATGGGATGGTTTATGACATTAACGTTGCTATATAAACTTATGTTATTGTTGAGTGGTTCAGCTCTAAACTGCGCTGCCTGAGAAGTGAGACAAAACAGATTCAATTGACATTTACCAAAGGAAACTGGAGAAGTAGAAAAAAAGTGAAAATTTGCAGGATAATTAGGAAAAGGCGGAGGAGTGAAATTGGCTGAGATGGTCGTTCAGGAGGCCATTATGGGCACAATGGGCTGAATGGCCTCCTTCTGTGCCATCACCATTCTATGATATGATAATTTCAGTATTTTAAAGGCTGTGATGAAGCTCATATCTGCAATGGTGAGGGTGGAGGAGGATATTTCCTGGGATCTTGGAAGTTCCTCCAGAAAGGCCTTCTCCTTATGACCTGGGGTGGAAATTCAAATACAGAATACATCAAGGAGGAAAGTGCATGTTGAGAGGGAGAAGCAGCAATGCAGACGAGAGGAGTAGTTAGAAGGGCAGTAATAGATGCTCAGGATATGAGTGTAAACTGAGGAGTCCCACTGTGGTTGGTTTCCTCAAGAACCAGAGTGAGATCTGACATCACTGATCATTTATCTCTGGATTACTCATCCACTAACACAACCGTGATGCCACCATATCTTGCATCCAGCTTCTGCTTAAATACACCTCTACTAGTTTCCTCAATGATTCCATGTGGTAGTGGGATTCCATATTCTAAAAATTGTCTCAGTAAAGAAACTTTTTCTAAATTCTTGGCTGGATCTTTCCTTATGACCCTCAGTCCTGTCTCCCTTACAATTTGAAACAGCTTATCGCTATCTGATCTGGTCATAGCCTTTCACAATCTTAAAGACCTCTCTGAGGTCACCTCTTCAGTCTTCTCCTCTCTGGAGGAAAGAACTCCATGCTGCCTAATCTTTTTCCAATGAACTTCCAGGGCATGTTGGAGACGCCGCCAACTCATGTGGAATGCTGAAATGTCGCCACAACACTCAGTTTACCCAGATACGGTGCCGTATGATTCAATCCCTGGATATACAAGTCATTGGGACTACTTACAGGAGTGATCAATACCACTGAACCCAAGTGAATACTGAGAGCAGACTTTTATTCTGGGGCTTGGGAACAAATTTGTATTTGTAAAATTCCATAGAATCCCTACACCGTGGAAACAGGCCATTCGGCCCAACAAGTCCGAACTGACACTCCGGAGAGCATTCCACCCAGGCCCATCCCCCCATCCTATTACTGTAACCCTGCATTTCCCATGACTAACGCACCTAATCTACACATCCCTGAGTACTATAGGTAATTTAACATGGCTAATCCACCTAGCCTGCACATCTTTGGACTGTGGAAGGAAACCAGAGCACCTGGTGGAAACCCACGCAGATATGGGGAGAACGTGTAAACTCCACACAGACAGTCACCCGAGGGTGGAATTGGAGTTGGCACAGAAGCATAACACTAGGTCAGAATAAAGATCAACTTGTTGGACCCAGTAAACAAAAACAAAGCTGCTGGAAAAGCTCAGCAGGTCTGGCAGCATCTGTGAAGGAAAAAACAGCGTTAACGTTTCGGGTCCGGTGACCCTTCCTAAGAACCCGGTAAATGTTTGCAACATTTGAAGCATTACTGGGCGGTTAAAGTGAATCATTTTCCTTTGCCAAGACCAGCATTCACCACTGTTACAAACAGACACAATTATCACCATTCATAAAAGCAAGGAAAATCATTCCGATGTGCAAATTTATTCAAAGATGGGACTAATTCACTAACATTATTCAAGGGTAGGAAGTCTCTAAAACAGACGCAAGGAGAAACACTGGAGAAATTCAGCAGGTCTGGACCATCTGTTGGGAGAGAAACAGAATTAATGTTTCGAGTCCAGTATGACACTTCTTCAGCATCTAACAAGTCCCCAAGTTCTATCAAGATCTTGTTCTTTCTGCATCCCGCTGTTACCCAGCTGTCAGTCAGAACATCGACTGCTGGGGAAGCTGCAATGATAGCAGTTTAATGAGAACAGGACGAGTTCTAGAAAGGTTACCACGTGCATCAGTAGAGTTTGACCATTGACACACACCTCTTTAGACACGGTCTTACCTTCGTGGTGGAGGGAGGCTCTCTCTGTTTGTGGCGAATCCAGACTTTGGAGCTGCGCCTGCTTTCTGGAGATACATGGAGGGATAATACCCTGTAACATCCCCTTTCCTGTTTCAATGAAAGAATGAAGTCATGACTTGTAAGCGAATCAAAATCTTTTGGGACTGATAGATGGCAGTTACTTACATAACACAATAAACTCTTTGCAAAATAATGCCTTTGCCAGGAATTCATTGAAAATACTCAGTGAACCGAGCAGTGAGAGTGGGGATGTGTGTCATATGGGTGTGAGTGTGTGTGACTGTGTATTTGTGTAACTGTGTGCATGAGATTGTGTGTGTGTATGTGTGTGTCTGTCTGTGTCTGTCTGTCTATCTCTGTGTCTGTGTGTGTGAGAAAGAGAGAGACTGTGTGTACCCTTTATCTACTGTAGAATGTCCCAAAACTCTTTACAGCCAATGAAGTATTTCTGAAAAGCCACCAGACAAGTGTTGTCCCTCACTCTTACAGCCATGGGGTACAGGTCTCTGGCACTCTGTCGCTCAGAAGGGAAGGGGGGAGAGGAGGAGAGCATTAGTCATTGGGGACTCCATAGTTAGGGGGACAGATAGGAGATTTTGTGGGAACGAGAGAGACTCATGGTTGATGTGTTGCCTCCCAGGTGCCAGGGTCCGTGATGTCTTGGATCGTGTTTTCGGGATCCTTAAGGGGGAGGGGGACCAGCCCCAAGTCGTGGTCCACATAGGCACCAACGAGATAGGTAGGAAAATGGATTGGGATGTAAGGAAGAAATTCAAGGAGTTAGGGTGGAAGCTTAGAGCTAGAACAAACAGAGTTGTTATCTCTGGTTTGTTACCCGTGCCACGTGCTAGCGAGGCAAGGAATAGGGAGAGAGAGTAGTTGAACACGTGGCTACAGGGATGGTGCAGGAGTGAGGGATTCAGATACCTGGATAATTGGGGCTCATTCTGGGGTAGGTGGGACCTCTACAAATAGGATGGTCTACACCTGAACCAGAGGGGTACCAATATCCTGGGGGGGAAATTTGCTAATGCTCTTCGGGAGGGTTTAAACTAATTCAGCAGGGGGATGGGAACCTGAATTGTAGCTCCAGTGTACAGGAGGTTGAGAGTAGTGAGGTCATGAATAAGGTTTCAAGGTCGCAGGAGTGTACCAGCAGGCAGGAAGGTGGTTTGAAGTTGTCTACTTCAATGCCAGGAGCATCCAGAATAAGGTGGGTGAACTTGCAGCATGGGTTGGTACCTGGGACTTCGATGTTGTGGCCATTTCAGAGACATGGATAGAGCAGGGACAGGAATGGTTGTTGCAAGTTCCGGGGTTTAGATGTTTCAGTAAGATCAGGGAAGGTGGTAAAAGAGGGGGAGGTGTGGCATTGTTAGTCAAGGACAGTATTAGGGTGGCAGAAAGGACGTTTGATGAGGACTTGTCTAATGAAGTAGTATGGGCTGAGATTAGAAACAGGAAAGGAGGAGGTCACTCTGTTGGGAGTTTTCTATAGGCCTCCGAAAAGTTCCAGAGATGTAGAGGAAAGGATTGCAAAGATGATTCTGGATAGGAGCGAAAGTAACAGGTAGTTGTTAATGGGGGACTTTAACTTTCCAAATATTGACTGGAAACGCTATAGTTCGAGTACTTTAGATGGGTCAGTTTTTGTCCAATGTGTGCAGGAGGGTTTCCTGACACGGTATGTAGATAGGCCAACAAGAGGCGAGGCCACATTGGATTTGGTACTGGGTAATGAACCAGGCCAGGTGTTAGATTTGGAGGTAGGTGAGCACTTTGGTGATAGTGACCACAATTCAGTTACGTTTACTTTAGCGATGGAAAGGGATAGGTATATACCACAGGGCAAGAGTTATAGCTGGGGGAAAGGCAATTATGAGACGATTAGGCAAGATTTAGGATGCATTGGATGGAGAAGGAAACTGCAGGGGCTGGGTACAATTGAAATGTGGAGCTTGTTCTTGATAAGTACGTACCTGTCAGGCAGGGAGGAAGTGGTCGAGCGAGGGAACCGTGGTTTACTAAAGAAGTCGAATCTCTTGTCAAGAGGAAGAAGGAGGCTTATGTAGAGATGAGGCGTGAAGGTTTAGTTAGGGCGCTTGAGAGTTACAAGTTAGCCAGGAAGGTCCTAAAGAGAGAGCTAAGAAGAGCCAGGAGGGGACATGAAAAGTCTTTAGCAGGTAGGATCAAGGAAAACCCTAAAGCTTTCTACAGGTATGTCAGGAATAAAAGAATGACGAGAGTAAGATTAGGGCCAGTCAAGGACAGTAGTGGGAAGTTGTGCGTGGAGTCCGAAGAGATAGGAGAGGCGCTAAATGAATATTTTTCATCAGTATTCACACAGGAAAAAGACAATGTTGTCGAGGAGAATACTGAGATACAGTCTATTAGACTAGACGGGATTGAGGTTCATAAGGAGGAGGTGTTAGCAATTCTGGAAAGTGTGAAAATAGATAAGTCCCCTGGGCCGGATGGGATTTATCCTAGGATTCTCTGGGAAGCTAGAGAGGAGATTGCAGAGCCTTTGGCTTTGATCTTTATGTCATCATTGTCTACAGGAATAGTGCCAGAAGACTGGAGACTAGCAAATGTTGTCCCCTTGTTCAAGAAGGGGAGTAGAGACAACCCTGGTAATTATAGACAGTGAGCCTTACTTCGGTTTTGGGTAAAGCGTTGGAAAGGATTATAAGAGATAGGATTTATAATCATCTAGAAAGGAATAATTTGATTAGGGATAGTCAACACGGTTTTGTGAAGGGTAGGTCGGCCTCACAAACCTTATTGAGTTCTTTGAGAAGGTGACCAAACAGGTGGATGAGGGTAAAGCGGTTGATGTGGTGTATATGGATTTCAATAAAGCGTTTGATAAGGGTCCCCACGGTAGGCTATTGCAGAAAATACGGAGGCATGAGATTGAGGGTGATTTAGCGGTTTGGATCAGAAATTGGCTAACTGTAAGAAGACAGAGGGTGGTGGTTGATGGGAAATGTTCACCCTGCAGTTCAGTTACTAGTGGTGTACCTCAAGGATCTGTTTTGGGGCCACTGCTGTTTGTCATTTTTATAAATGACCTGGATGAGGGCATATAAGGATGGGTTAGTAAATTTGCGGATGACACTAAAGTTGGTGGAGTTGTGGATAGTGCGGAAGGATGTTGCAGGTTACAGAGGGACATAGATAAGCTGCAGAGCTGGGCTGAGAGGTGGCAAATGGAATTTAATGTGGAAAAGGGTGAGGTGATTCACTTTGGAAGGAGTAACAGGAATGCAGAGTACTGGGCTAATGGTAAGATTCTTGGTAGTGTGGATGAGCAGAGAGATCTCAGTGTCCATGTGCATAGATCACTGAAAGTTGCCACCCAGATTGATAGGGTTGTTAAGAAGGCGTACGGTGTGTTAGGTTTTATTGGTAGAGGGATTGAGTTTCAGAGCCATGAGGTCATGTTGCAGCTGTACAAAAATCTGGTGCGGCCGCACTTGGAGTATTGCGTACAGTTCTGGTCGCCGCATTATAGGAAGGATGTGGAAGCATTGTAAAGGGTGCAGAGGAGATTTACCAGGATGTTGCCTGGTATGGAGGGAAGGTCTTATGAGGAAAGGCTGAGGGACTTGAGGCTGTTTTAGTTAGAGAGAAGAAGGTTAAGAGGTGACTTAATAGAGACATACAAGATGATCAGAGGATTAGATAGGGTGGACAGTGAGAGCCTTTTTCCTTGGATGGTGATGGTTAGCACAAGGGGACATAGCTTTAAATTGAGGGGTGATAGATATAGGACAGATGTCAGAGGTAGGTTCTTTACTCAGAAAGTAGTAAGGGTGTGGAATGCCTTGCCTGCAACAGTAGTAGACTCGCCAACTTTAAGGGCATTTAAATGGTCATTGGATAAACATATGGATGATAATGGAATAGTGTAGGTTAGATGGGCGTCAGATTGGTTTCGCAGGTCGGTGCAACATTGAGGGCCGAAGGGCCTGTACTGCACTGTAATGTTCTATGTTCTATTTTCTATGTTACATCAGGTCTTCAGTCTTCACTCTAACATCAGTCTTACTTCTGTGGTGGACAAATTATTGGGGACGATTCTGAGAGATAGTATTTATGATTATTTGGAAAAGCACGGTTTGATTAGAGATAGTCAACATGGCTTTGGGAGGAGCAGGTCATGCCTCACAAGCCTTAGTGAATTCTCTGAGGATGTGACAAAACACATTGATGAAGGTAGAGCAGTGGATGTGATGTATATGGATTTTAGCAAGGCGTTAGATAAGGGTCCCCATGGTAGGCTCATTAAGAATGTAAGGAGGCATGGGATTCAGGGAAATTTGGCTGTCTGGATACAGAATTGGCTGTCCAATAGTGGTAGTAGATGGAAAATATTCAGCACGGAGCTCGGTGACCAGTAGTGTTCTGCAGGGATCTGTTCTGGGACCTCTGCTCTTTATGATCTCTTTAAATGACTTGGATGAGGAAGTGGAAAGATGGGTTAGTAAGTTTGCTGATGACACGAAGGTTGGTGGAGTTGTGGATAGTGTGGAAGGCTGTTGTAGGTTGCAACGGGACATTGACAGGATGCAGAGCTGGGCAAAGTAGTGGCAGATGGAATTCAACCAGAAAAGTGTGAAGTGATTCATTTTGGAAGGTCGAATTTGAATGCAGAATACAGGGTTAGTGGCAGGATTCTTGGCAGTGTGGAGGAACAGAGGGATCTAGGGGTCCACGTCCATACATCCCTCAAAGTTGCCACCCAGGTTGATAGGGTTGTTAAGAAGGCATATGGTGTGTTGGCTTTCATTGGCAGGGGGATTGAGTTTAAGAGCCAGGAAGTTATGCTGCAGCTCTATAAAACCCCGGTTAGACCACACTTGGAATATTGTGTTCAGTTCTCGTCACCTCATTATAGGAAGGATGTGGAAGCTTTAGAGAGGGTGCAAGGAGATTTACCAGGATGCATTCTAGACTGGAGGCAGGTCTTATGAGAAAAGGTTGAGGGATCTAGGGCTTTTCTCATTGGAGCGAAGAAGGATGAGAGGTGACTTGATAGAGGTGTACAAGATGATGAGAGGCATAGATAGAGAGGATAGCCA